AATGGTTACTACAGGAGTAACATATTAAAGCATGATGCACTAAGGTGCTAAGTTAAATTGTCCTTTGTGTAGGACTAAGAGAATCTCAACTCAAAAATTATCTGGGAAAAGTAGGTTTGTGGGAGATTCTGGTAACAAACCCAGAATTAACCTTTTGCAACCAAAACAGCCCAGAAGGGGAGAGAATTATCAACATCCCTATATTGTAAATAAGAACAGATATATATATATATATATATATATATATATATATATATATATATATATATACACAAGTATGCATACCAAGCATACATGGCATCCTGGGTAAGACAAACTACATCCAATAGCAAGGCCTCTGATCAGGAGATTTTGAGGAGTGTGGAACCACCTCTTAACTGCTGGTGTTCCCAGGTCCAGTGTGACCCAGAATGGTAGCACCTCTTAGGATCCCAACTATGGGAAAATAGTTAACTCCCAAACTGGGGTCAAAACACTATAAAGGTGTAAAAATAGGTTTTAATACCAGCAATAAATTTTTTTAAGAAAAATTATTACCTGCAATAAAAATCTTGTTGGCATTAAATAACCCATTGAGGCTGATATATGTGTTAGAACTTGTTCATTTCTTTGGGCAGATTTATTTGAGCCTGATTTACCATCATTAAATTTTCTTCACATTATATCATTATGAACAGAAAAATTTTTAAAGTCAAGATTTAAGGATAGAAACTTGAAACCAAATATATTCTTTAAATGGTCTGATTGCAGATGACAAAGTCTAAATCATTGAAACAGGTCAGCAATGTCAAGGGTTGAATAATCTACTCTATAAATTGTAATCAAGGCTGTTGCATGTATTTGTCCCTCTATTTTTTAACAAGTGTTTTCAACAACTGGAAGTATGGCCACATTGTTAAAGAAGACAGTTACTAACATAGAATTAAAGGATTTGGTTATGGTCTTGATGAGATGGTTTCAAAATGTGTTGTAGTAAACAAAATGCTAGTACAATTTACTTAACTGTAGGTGTAGAAGAAACAGAAATTGATACAGAAGACAGTTGAATTGATTTAGATCAATCCAAGAAATTTAACAGAGTGGACCATCACTTTCATGTAGTTCTTCTGCAGGTCATCAGATTCAAACCAGAATTCCAGACCAAATTTAATCTTCTGCAACAGAAATCCAATAATGTATTGCAAGTAAACAAAAAGTGGTTTTGAGATCATTTCAGCAGGATTGCCTTCTTGATGCAAAAATAAAGATGATTATAGAATCCCAAAACTTGCAGAGATTTGAAAGTAATAAATCCACCTAGCTTAAATATAAAAATATTTGTCAATTCCAGAAGGGCACAAATGATCTCAGGAACGAAAAAGAACCAATGTAACAAATGGAAGAAATGGCAATTACAAGATGATAATTGAAAAACTGCCATAATCTATCTACCTTATCAAAAAGGATTCAGAGGATCTGTGGTCCAGACTTCAGGACAGCATTTAAAAGAAGTTTCAACCTTTAACTAAGCTTCCATCAGATGATAACATTACCAAGAAATGTATATGTAGCTTTCTGTGCATTTGTAACAGGGTAAGCTGCCTTGAGATAGGAAAGGCCATAAACTATGGAGAGAGAGAGAAAGAGAGAATGAAATCTGTTATGGATAAGTGGTGGTGATGGAGATAGGGGTTACCAAAGTTTTATTGTTAAAATCTTTATTATTAAGAGGAAAGACCAAGGGAGTTTTTGATTATTAAATTATATTTTTTAATCCTTTTGAGAACATTAAAAATTTTGTTTTGCATCAGCAAAATGTGAAATTTGAGCATCTTTTAGCAGTGAAAAAAGACTTTGCTTTGAAAATTCTTACAAAAATCAAATAACTGTTAGATTTTAATTAAACTTTCAAGACCTATTCACAAATAAATGAAATTATTTTAGAAACTTTTTTTGGAAAATCTTGGTAAAAATTTTTTTAAAATCTGTTTCTTGAAATTTCATAAGTGTGTGTTGTAGAGCTTAATGTTTATTAGTTACAAACACAAGTCCAGGGAGAATTTAAATCAAATATTTTTTTGTCCAAGATGACCCCCAGTTACAGTAAATTTACTTTGAATTATAAAATAAAAATGGAATAAAACTCAAAACTACATTATTTAATTAAAAACGTTTTTAATTGTTTTAATGAATAAGATATATTATGTACATTGTTGTCTTAAATTTTTTTCAATGAATAATGAATTTTTTACAAGAATAGTTTTCATTTTTTTAAAAATTTTAATAATTTATAAAGTTTTAAATCTTTTAAAATTCTGTACTAATTTGAAACAGTTAAGTGGTACTGTTATTAAGTAAAAACTATATTTAATAATCGTAAATGGAAAAGATCACCAGTATTCTGAATTTTTTGTGTGTGTGTATATTATAAATGTGCTGATTTTTGTTAATGCAAACATTCATATACAACATTTTCAGAAAATAAGAGCGGTAACTATAATAAATTTTAAATTTATTGTTAATTTTCTAACATTATATCAAAAAGTGTATTCGGAAGTAAGACTTTATAAAGCCCAAATACTTAAAATTCAATAAAATATGAGTACTTAGAATATTTTCCTAAATTTTTAAGATTACTGGATAGTTAAAAAAAATTATATGAAAATGGCATTCATGCTGAATGTGTCAGGTAATTTATACAGTTGTGGACACTTTACCAATGCCAAAACATTATGTGTAAAATTCTGTATTGGGCTATTTCCTTGATGTAATATAGTAATTAAGTGGAAACAAAATTTATGAATCCTAAATTGAAAAGATTAATAAGCATAATTACACTATTTTAATTTTAAAATAATTTTTTTTTTTTTTTTTTTTTTTACTTGATTTGTTCCCTTTTTTCCTCTATGAAAGGCTAAACGTGACATTATTATGAAAAGGTTATGTGATCTAAGAGTTTTGTCTCTTTACAGACAAATTAAGAAAATTTTATAATCAAATTTTTTAAACAAACATTATAATTTCTGATTTTCTTAAAATAAGTTTTGAAAAAAATGATAATTGATTTTTAAAAGAATTTCATAGTGAGATTTTCATCTTTTTTATAAAATGTAAAAAAAAAAAAATGGATGCCATAATCGATTATCTGTCAATTTTGCTAAACAAGAATTTTAACAAAAATTTCAGACGTGCTCGGAACATACTCCCAAAATACTTTCCTCTTAATAATAACATGAACATTTAGACGATAAAATTTTGTTTTCGTCAAATTTGGCGTCTTTTTCATCAGGCTACGCTCTTTTTTTAGCGATCTCATGGAGGTACGTACATTTAGGTGTACTGTAAATTTACATGCTTAATTCGAAAATAAAGAAATTTTGCTAATAAAATCTACAGTTTCGGAGTCATCGACAATAAAAATTCGGAGACATTCGCGTCCGCCATTACTGACGTTGTTTACTTACATTTGCCTCGGGATAATCATGCGCGGAAGCTTAGTTAAAGGACTTTTTTTACTGATCAACTTCTTGTTTCAATTACTGCGCAAGGGGTAGGGATAGGGTTTTTGGTAAATTTGTTATTTAGAAAAGCAATGACAAGTTTTTGTTTTTTTTTAATAATAAAACAAATTGTAATGCTAATGGAATCTTATTTTAAGGTACTTAATTAATAATCATGCTTTATAAAACTAAAAAAAAAAATAAAATTGAACCTTGTATTTGTTCTTATTATTTCCTTTCTAGCATTTTTTATTTTGTAAATAATCATGCTCTTTTTAAATTTCGGATAAAGTTTGCGCATTAACCAAGAGAAGTGAAGCTTCCGCGAATGATTTCTGAAGCAAAAAGGTAAACAACGCTAGTAATGGCTGCCGTGCTGGAGCTGCGACGCGAATGAGTCCGAACTGTTATTGTCGATAACTCCAAAACTAAACGGTAAATTTTAGCAAAACTTCTTTGTTATTTCCGAATTAAGCATGATACAATTACACTTAAATCTATTCGGGAAATTTTTATTAGAAACTGAGCGCGGGGCTAAAAGTGCAAATTACCCAAAAAGAATTCAAATAATGCTAGTCTTAGGGATGAACAGAAAAATAATAAAATAATGAAAAATATTGTCACGTTTATTTTTTTTTAGTCATTTTTTTCTATCTGCTGTTCTAAAGCATGCTTGGTAAAAAAAAACAAAAAAAACACACACACACACACACACACAGTGTGCTACGTGTGCAATTTTTAAAGCACAAATTTAAATTAAAAAAGCTATGTTCTATGTTATGTGGGAATGTTGTTGTACACGATCTTCTTATCTGTTGAAAATTATTATGCCATGCATGGTAATCGATGGTAAACACCTTCCCATGAACTTAGAAAACTTGCAACGGAACCTAGCATTGAGCAAAATTCAGTATACATTATTTATTATTTGTATTATTTTTTTTTTACTTTGACATTTTTTTTAACGCCTTTTTAAGAGTAGAAAAAAAAAACTTATTTTCATTAGTCACTCTTCCACTAAGTGGAAAAGTAAAAAAATGGAAAATTAGGCAAGTTAGAGTTATAACGGATTCCTTTAAGTTATTAGTCGAATAAGTTAACAAAGAAATTGTAACGTTCGGTTAGCAAATATTTAAATTCCGTAGTACAAAGTTATTTTTAAGACTGTCCTGAAAGCATCTCTAAGTCGTAATATACGGTCGAGTAATAATCGTAATCGCTTCAGTGATAATATAAATCAAAAGGATTGTTTACACTTTTTTTAAATTCATACCAGCCATTTTCGAAGTGGTCAAAATAAAAGTAATAAATTGCTAGATAGTCCTACTTTTTTTTTTTAAAAAAAAGCAAACAATTATTTTCATAAAACAAGTGTACAACTGTACGTATATTGACTGAAAAATACAGAACGAGAACGGTAAACTCAAACATGAGGACATTTTTTTTCTTTCGTTACTTTGTACAACTTTAAAAAGAAAAGAATGCACAAGATATGGTTTTTACTTTTTTCTTCAATCTTACCTTTCATCCTGTCTTTCAATTGCAGTTTTCAACTTTTGATTGAGGTACGCCATTAAATTCTAATACAATACAGACATGTGCTTTACTTTTTTTTTCTTTTTTTCTTTTTTTGTCCAGAATATTTTGAAAGAATAAAACTACTGCGGTTGGTTAGATCAGCAACGAATCTGATTGGCTAAAACCCTTTACATTTCGTGCCTCTAAGTCAGGTTATGCGCCTGAGTTTTAAACTTTGTCTTTCCGTAACTTACGTTACGTACCTACTTTTCAAAGCTCATCAATTTGTATTAGTGTTTATAATACAATATACATCTACTTTATGTGTAATTATCCAACCAAAAATTTTCTTATCTTAAGTTAAATAAGTAAATTAATTACACAATTTAAACGAATATTTTTTTTATTTGAAATTAAAAATTTATTTTGCATGAACCTTGAACATATTTAGTATTTAAAATCTTTTTTTTAACGATGTTCGAATTTTTATCTCTTGTAATTAAGAGAAATAAGGTCAGTAAAAAGAAAGGAAAAAAAGCCCGTTAACTACATTCTTCCGCGTTTAGCTTTCCGCAGCGAATGTATGCAAACAACGCCAGTATTAACTGCCGCCAACGACGCGAATGAATCCGAATTGTCGATAACTCCAAAACAGTAGATTTATCAAGCCAGATTTGAATGGAGCATGTATAATTACACATAAATGTAAGTATTATGGAAATTTTTAATGCGAACTGAGCGCGGGTGCTAAACTGCAAGTTAAAAATTTCGGTAAATTTGCTTTTTAAGCCCCGCACTATTAAAAAAATTCCCAAAGTGTATGCTGAATCGAAAATAACGACCAAATTTTGATGCAACCTACCGTTGATAATACAAATTAATCGACAATAAAAATTCGAACTCAGTTTTTCATTCGTTCGCCATTACATTCACTGCGGAACACTTTGCTCGCGGAAGCGTAATTATCAGCCTATTTACTACTTTTATCTTACTCGTGTAAATTACTGCGCACTGTCAGAAAGCAATGACAAGTGGACAAGTGTTGTTTTATTTTTAACTGAAAACCCTTTTTTCTGTGTCGAAAAGCGAAAAACTTAAAAAAATAATACAATAAACCCTTTTTTTCTGTGTCGAAAACTGAAAAAGAACAAATTAAATAACACAATAAGGCATTTTTTTAAAATTAAATTAAAAATAAAACAAACAGTAATTAATACGCAAACTTTATAAAGAGCATGTTAATTTACAAAATAAAGTACAAAATGCTAGAAAGGAAATACTAAGAACAAATTTAAGTTTCAAATATATGTTTTGTTTTTTTATTAAATTTTGGAGTTTTAAAAAAACATGAATATATATATATTATGTAATTAATGTAATGAAGCATGATTACATTTGTTCTATTGGATACAAATCCTATATTCCAACAAATGACTAAAAAAACACAAAGTAGATTTGCAATCCCGCAAAATCGGATCAGAACGACCAAAAACAGATTTCACAATAAGGTGTGAAATTAATTTTCTGACCAATGAAAGGAGGCGATTTGCTAAACCAAAAAAAAAAGTTAACGAGCCAGTGTGAAAAAAAAGTCAACAATAAATACGTAGTTTTCAAGTCAGTCGTCAGTCAGTCAGTCAGAGAAGGACGCAAAAGATCACAGAAGATTGACAGTAAATTCCATCACTGACTCAACCTGAAAGTGGAGTAGGAAGGAACAACAACAACAACAAATTTACAACTGACTCCAAAACAATTCATAAGTACATTTTCCTTTCATCTTTATTCCTCATTCACACTGTCTTTTTCAACTTAAATTGCTCGCCCCTTTTTCATTTTACAACTATACAAAACAAAAGAAACAGACATTATTCTGCTACTCTGTTAAAAGACAGCGTACACAGACATTTTTATCAAAATCACATTTTTGCTTAAACGAACTAAAATAGTAATCTTACCCTATTCACAAGATAATAAATATACAATGTTCTATTTTTTATAAACGTTCCTTATCGTGTTGTTTCTTCTTGAGATTTGCGTTGTATTTTGTGGGCAGGGTACCCGTATTAATTTCTCCTTTAATCCGGGTACGCTGAACCCCACAGTTCTTAGTATTTCCTTTCTAGCTTTTGTAAATTAACATTGTGTATGATGATCATCATCACGCAAATTCAAATTATACAACAACAAGCATTCATTGGATAATAAATCAACACTACTGTGTAATGGACAATTTATAAATCGCAGCTATGCGACAATTTTATAATCGCTATATTTTCATGTAGTCGATTTTGTGCGCTTTTGGGAGAATCGGATCCCAGAAGTTTTTCGTGAGTCTCCCCAAAGCTCGCTCGCTGATTGGTCAATGCCAATCACTCAGATTGTCTGTACGTGAAGAGTGATTCGGAGCAGATGATCACCTATATAAGCAAAGAATATTCTTAGTTAATTAGAGAGAATTCAGTATGAACTTGGACTAGGGGCGGCAGCTCGGATTCGGTGGTGAGCGCAAGCTACATCGACCGAATTCCAGTTAAGATAGTCGACGTAGGGCTCTTATAATGTCCAAGTTTCCATTTTATTTTACTCGGATCATGGGCTTGTCCGGGCTGGGGTAAACTTAGATAAGCCTAAGTTTAAGATGGTTGGGTACTGGAAATTGAACGCATCATTATTTGGCGAGCAAAATTTCCGGGATCAGCTTTTACTAATGCTAAAGTGGGAATTGTCGGGGGCTGTGGTTGGGAATAAGTGGTGGGATTCTTTGCTTTGAAATCTAAACTTAGGTCTTTTGCTGCTGATTTTAGTCGACGACTCTATCTAGCAGGGTTAGCAGCGCAAGAAGTCTTGAGGAAAAAGTTGATCGGGTGATTAAATCCCGTGTTAGCTAAGGCAGAGCTTAGCAAGAAGCATCAAGCTCTGGTAGTTAGAGCTAGGCTAAAAAGAATGTCTTGCGAGGCCACGAATATGGCCGCTTCATTGCGTGCAGAGGAAGCTCGTAGGGCGTCTAGTCGGCATATCGCTAGCATCACATTGCTGGACAAGCGGACTGTGACTACAGACGTGGGCATTTATGAGGCTTTCCGTGACTAACTTCAGGAGCTATTTATCAGTTCGATGCCTATTTAACCGACTTTCTCCGCCTCGAGGCGGCTGGGTGCGAGAGTCCCATTACAGAGTCTGAGATCTGGGATGCGTTGAAGCAGGTTGGCTTGGACAAGACTCCGGGATTAGATGGTCTTCCGTACTGTTATAAAATAAAATAAGACATATCTCGGCTGATTTACAGGCAAATACTCAAGAGCGAGAACCGGATGTAAACGGGACAAAGCCCCGTCACAAAATGACCATTATCTTTCTTCACAAATGTTCCCGACACACGTGTTCCGGTCGAAAAATAAAATAATATTTAAAGTGCTCTATTTTTTCGTCCAATAAAAATGCTTCCCTCCTAATTATACTCGCTTCGTTTTTCGAGCCTGTTAAGCCATAAAAAAACACTATAAAAGGGGTCACAGGGAAGTCCAACGGCAGTCAACAGGTGCCCAGAGTGGAGACCTGTCACGGTCAGCTACTGACAAGCAGGGGAGCGTCAACTACCGTCAACATGTGTGAACTACTATGAGAGATCAACCTAGATCCGAAAGCCGGCTTATGAACTTTGCCACAAGGTAGCTGTCCCAAACCCTCACGTTCCTGTTGAAATAAACCACGTAAATCTATTTCTACTGTTGTCGTATTTCTTTCTTGCAACCATACGCTTGTCTATAACAGTACGAAATGTACTTGAGGCAGTCGCCCGTCTTTGTTCCCTTGCTGGCACTGGTTTTCAACAACTGGATGAAACAGGGGTCTATACCTCAACGCTTCACCAGGAGTGTGATCAAGTTGCTTCGCAAGAGCAAAGACGGTGGAGATGGAGTAGATAATTATCGGCATTTGACGATGTTAAACACAGAGTTGAAGATTTTAGCCAAGGTCTTAGCCGGCCGTTTGCAGACTGTCCTCTCTAATTTGATTCGTCTCGAGCAGACTTGTGCTGTGAAGAGCAGGACTATTCAGGACGGTAAGCTTGATCACCGAGCAAGTTGACAGTGATGCCGCGCTGATCAATTTAGATCAGTCCAAGGCTTTCGATATTGACCATCGATTTCTGGAGGCTGTTTTTTCGGCCGCCGGTTTCGGGCCGGACTTTCGCACTTGGATCCAACTTCTGTATGCGTCCCCCAGTGCGCTGGTAGAAATGAATGGGGTAAGATCGAAACCTTTCATTTTGTCTCGCTCCATTCGTCAAGGTTGTCCGCTGTCTCCATTGCTGTACGTTCTTGCCCTGTAACCTTTCCTGCGTAAGTTGAAGCCAAATCCGGTCCTTCGCGGAATTTCCTTACCTGGTGCTACCACTTCGGCCAGGTACTCCGCCTATGCTGATGACGTTTAAATTCTTGTTTCGAGCAGAGCCGAAATTAACGAAGGAAAAGAAATCAAATGCTATGAGATGGTGACAAAAGGTGATCAACCGTGATAAGTCTGTTGGCTTGCGGCTGGGTTCGTGGAAGGGAGTTTCTCTTCCCGGACCTTTACTCTGGACAAAATTGCGGTTACGTTGGCGCCTGGATCAATCCAACCTCCTGTTGGTCGGAGGTAAAGAAATAAGGCCGAGGTTGCAGTTCGTCTGTGGACTCGGAGGAATCTACCCCATTCTCCTTTACCGACTTTCAGTATCATCACTCCCGTTTGACACTTTATTGTCGTTTGTAAGGCTTATTGTTCTCTTTCTTGTGGGGAGGCAAGGCCGCCATGGTTAATCGCGAGATCTGTTACCTCCATCCCTCTGATGGTGGTCTGGGGGGTGCTTTTTTAAAATAGCAAAAGACTCGTCGACATACGTTTCGCATTATTTATCTAGACCGGATTCAATATGCAATTCTTATTGGATGAGAACGGTGAATTCTGGAAGGAAGACGCCCGTAAAAATTTTCCATCCTTGAGAAATGGGCGCTCGTGTGAGGAGAGGCCGGCCGGCCGCACGCCTCGAAGCGACGGCTCTTTCTATTGT